AGTTGTTTTGTTCTGTAGATGTTCATACAAATTTAAAACAGTACTCTCTTAAAACAAATGCAATATTTCTTCCTTCAGTAAGATATGCTGGGCTTTAGACTACATTTCTGTAAAATCAGATAGATAATTCATTATTATATTTCAGTTGAGCTTTTGTTACAGTATATCACCCAAGCGGTCACAGAAATAATTGAGTAAAAGTGCTTAAGACACTAACTCGCATTTTATCAAATTAAGAAAAAAAAAATGATATATAACATGTTACTGATTTAAATTAATATAACAATATTAATACAATTATATATAAACAACCGTGAGAAAATTAAATACATTATTTTATTGATTTTTAACATTAAGAAATTATTTTAAAATTGGTGCTTTGAAATTTATTTATTTTCTTTATATATGATTTATAAAGAGCACAGAGTCTCGGAAAAACAGCCGAATTGCTTTCGAATTCATACTAATCATTACATCTCGTTCCAAGAATATCCTCCTCTGTTGCTTTCTACAACACTATACGACGCATCCGTTGTGTTTATATTCAGGCTTGTTCATAACCATGCTTAAGCATTTGAACGGCCCATTCTTTAACACGCAATATTTCTAACATTGGTATGGGCTAGATATTTGCAATTCTTAACGTATTCAACTGGTTTAAATATGCCTAGCCATCTATATACAATTCTAAGGAATGTGCAATTTAAAAAGCTTTCTTCGATCAACGAATATCATCGACCCACCCACAACTAGAGCAGACAGGACCGCCTTATGTGGTCCAACTAACTTCAGCGTAATCACAAAGCAGTGCCAACAGAAAAAGCAGCACAGAAAATGGCTATGGTTGGAGAGTAACTCCATTCGAAATAGAATGTTTCAAAAACTGACTTTAAAGTTGAACCCTTCACCTTCTAAGCCATGAGTTGGTGTAAACTCATTAAACGGTTTTTGTTAATGCTGTCAACTACACTGCAATGGCAGACATCAAGGCAACAATTTTTCTCCACTCTCCACTTTTTATGTATAAAATTTTTTGAAATATGAAAGATTTCGAACGACTAACTTAAATATTATGAAATAAGCTAATATAACAGGGAAGGAAGAAGGTACCAACCAACGAGTTAGATTCAACTCGTTGGTTGCATGGTTGATGGCTGTGGCGTTTGGTGTTACTGTTAAATTAGATGAGGTGTTGTGTAAAGTACATAGACGTGCCCACCACAATTAACAGCATGAAGTACGGAGCACATTTAGCAAATCTGTATGTGTATTTGTGTGCATTTTCAGTGTATTTAAAATGTCATTTTGGTGTCAGCCTCAGACTTGTCTAATGTCAAATAATAATCATAGTATGCATTGGCACTAAGAAAGCAGCATTCAACAATAACAGTAATAGCAATAATAAGAGCAATAATACAAACAACAACAACAACAATGTACTTCAATGTGCCTATGCAAAAACAGTAACAAAAGTAACATTATAACATCAACAACAATAAAAACAACAACAACAACACTAATGAGAGAAACAAAAATAAAATTTAAATGCTGACAAAAACCAAAAACTTTTCTGCTTCTTTAGAATTTCTTAAATGTGCATAATTGTTTTTAGTGTTGTCGCTTTGTTTTTGTACTATTTTGTTGTTGTTGTTGTCGCCTTAGCAAAGTGGTGATAATTTCAACGGTTGTTTGAAATGAGTATTTAAAAAGCTCAGTTACAGGCAGAGGGGACCTCATTACTTCACTTAGTCTGTACAATTTTCTTTACTTTGTCACATTGCTACATTTAAGCATGTATGTGTGTACGTGTGTGTATATATCACTTCTTAATGGATTTTATCTTATTACCAAAAAGTTCCTTGTCGCCTCTTATTTGACATAAACATACATTCCATTTAAGTGAGTATGTTCGTGTATGTGTATGTGTATGTGTGTGTATGTATTTAATTTTTGCATGTGCCTTGTTTACACTTTAATTTCTTGGCTTAAAAATGGCGACAGATTTATTTGCAATTTCTTAAGGTTTTCCTTCTGCTTTTGTTGTAGTTGTTGTTGTAGCTGTTGTATTTGTTGTAATTGCTCCATGCCTTAGCAGTGCATAATTAAAAAAGTTTCATTTCATTTTGTTGGTTTTCTCGGTTCGTTTCGCTTGTTTATGTTCATTTGTTTTCTGTAGATTTTATATTTTTCTTTGGACTTTTCTGGGTTGTTTGCTGGGGGCGTCTTTTAATGAGATGAGTTTTAATCAAGCTTCATTTAATTTAATAGTAATTTAAGATATTTGGTGTTTACTTCAAATTTGAACTTTTTTTCGTTTCTTTAAGGACTTTTTTGACAGTGTCTTATAAGTATAAAATTCATATAAACATTTTTAAAGTTGTAACACCACTATCCATTATCCAGATTAGAGACATTCGTATACCAAATGGTTTCATATAAAATTCATATAAACATTTTTAAAGTTGTAACACCACTATCCATTATCCAGATTAGAGACATTCGTATACCAAATGGTCCATGAGTCATACTGTTGCTGTCAAATTCTTCTATTTAAATTGTTTGATGCAGTTTTCATGAATATTGTTAATTTCAGAAGCAGGTTACACCGATCGCACCTCATTATTTAAATGTCTCAAGAATATGCTACACTATTCAATGCCGTACTTCATACTATTTTATCTACCACATAAATGGCCTGAATTCTTGTTTAAAAAACGCTGGAATCTAAGATTGTAGAGTCTATTAATTTCCTTCATATTGAATTCAAGCTTTGAAGTATCCACTCACATATGGATATTGATGATGTGATTTGCGATACTCCAGTCTTGTCTGATAAAGATTAGGGTTGCGATATATTGATAGCTTCGATTTATCCTTAAAGTCATGCTGAGTTCGAATATGATAGTTTTTGTTGTTGACGTCCTTAGAGATCTATTTAGCAGATTATATAAAAGAAGTTACAAAGGTGTATACATGGGTTAGGTTGTGGAAGGGAATATAAGGAAAAAAATAGGTTAAAGTTTTTTAATTGATGTCAATCACGATCAAGGCGAAAAAATCTGACCTCTTAAATGATGCGGGTCCATAGGTCGATTGGATTTCAAAATTACTATATACATTGGAACAAATAAACATATAGGTGAGATTATGGGCAGTTAATCTGTAGTTATGGTACATATTAGGAACTGATGCATTTATACATGACAAATAATTGCTCAGCAAATAACTCAGCAATAACATCTTTCTAATAGATGTTATGTGCGGGACTATGGAGAACCTTGTTGCAGCGCAACCGTGGTCTATTATTGAGAGTTTTCATGTACAGATTTATAACTTCAAAGCATATTATTTAGTTGTTTTGGCATATAGCATAGTGAAAGTAAATATTCAGATTATTGCAATTTAATGCATTCGGGTAATTGGAACTGTGTCCTATGCAATGTTCAGGAGTTTTGTTTAATATTGCTTTTTAAAATGAAGTCTTATTTTAGATATTGATTATATTTGTTATTGTAGAGTCGCTGTTTACTATTAAAATAAATCTATGTTATCATTACTACACAATAATAAACCGAATCGCGCAATGAAATCTTCGAATACCATTCAAGCTACTCCTACTTTTATATGTAGCAAATAAACCATTTTAAGATAAAATATTTATTGTTATATAATATTTTTTACATATATTTTAATAGCAGCTTAGATATATATTAACTGTTTTAATATCAGATCAAAACACTAAGGGATGTTTCCGGCTAAAGCAGCCGGAAATATTGACACTAGTAAAATATGTTGTTCTCTCATATGGTGTACATTTTACACAAACGTATGGAGTAGTGAAACGTACTACTTTCACTACCCAATGCCCATATCACTGTTGAAGTCACTGCAACAATTACAACAACCAAACGACATTGGCAGCAGCAGGCAACACATAAAATATGCTTTATGAATTTTTTAAATTCATATCTCTGTGATATCTACAAGCAAAATTTAGTCGAATCGCTGATATACTTGTAGTGCTGCTACCGTAGATGTGTTGCCTTTGTTGTTGTTTGTACCGGGTAGTGGGTGTGATGCGTCTGATGGTGTCTGTCTGCCTTTTCGGGTGTGTGTGGGAAATTCTTTAGTCACACTTTGGTGTATCCGGTGCATCGCACGCTTCTCAATTGGAAGTAAGAGTTTTGAATTGGTTTGGTTTGACTAAAAGAGGAACTTCAACGTGGCCAATATTTAACAGCGCAGCATGTACGATTGCAATAAACTATGCATAAGAGCAACTGTATGAATGTGTAAACATACATACATATGTATCTGTGTATCTGTGCCTTAGTATCGCTGTGCGCTGATTGCCACAAATAAGAGAAATCAGAAAATTTCATTTATTTGAAAATTTTATGTCTTCATTTTGGTGTAAATTTGGAATTTTATATGAGCTTAGCATACCCATATCCGTGTATCCCTAGCCATATCTATAACGCCATCTATAACTACCATATATTTGTATCTGTATCTGTGTATCTGTCCCGCTGTAGCTGCGACTGTAATTCCTATTGAAATTTGCAATTGCATGAAGAATAAATGCGCGTAACTGCTTGTACGCTCCATTGGGGTTAATTTCACGCAAGCTTCGCTGAAGTTCAAAGTTTATTTTGCAAAAATATCTTTTTATTTTTTTTTTTTTTGATAATAATTTAGCAGCACGTATTTTTGGGGCAAGATATTTTATTGTGTGCTTTGCATTGGAAATAGAAAATCCATAAATCCAATAAATAATTGCGTTGCTGCTCCATGCAATCATGCATTTTTCATGCAGAATTGCGTTCGCATTTCGGTTTTGTTCATGAAATGCGAATTTCATTAGGAATCCTTCTGCTCCTGCTATTGTGTATTTTTGGTAATAAGAATACATTTTGAGATTTATTTACTCAACTTGTTATTAAATTTAAATGAAAACAATATGCTTTACTTACTTTTCTGATGAAACGATTTTCTTTCAGGTAAAAGCTTTACACTTACAATTGTGATATCAACGAATCCAATACAAGTTGCCACTTACAATAAAGCCATCAAGGTAACTGTGGATGGTCCGCGTGAACCACGTTCCAAAGTGCGTCATCAAGGCTTTCACCCGTTTGCATTTGGTCCACAGCGATTTGGTCCGGATCCACTTATGGGTGGTTTACCATTTAAATTACCAGGTGAGTAGTAATGAAAAGTGATTTTTTTGATATATCAATTTAAATAATTAAAATTATTCCTATTAAACTGATACTGACTATACATACCTGTATTACAACTGCACTAAAATAGATAGTGGAACTTTGCTCTCTGTATAGCTTAATCAAAAAGAGAGTAGCTTAGAAAGCAGTTAAAATGTAGTCAGTTATCAATATAAGTCAAAGTCTTAACAGTCAAAACTATATGTATAGATTTGTATACCTTCTGCAAATAAAGCGATCCATATGCGAAACCAAAATGTCGTTGTAAACTGCTGGTTTCAAATCAAATAGAAAGGAACTGGTTCAGAAATCTAAAAATAAAATATCGTAAGTGCTGAGTGTATGGGCTTAGGCTTCTAAGTAGAGTTCCCTGCCCTAGAGGTCTGCGTTCGATTTAACCTCTCCAACTTACATAGTTCCACATTTGTATCTATATGGATAGCCGAAAAGCCGATAGCCAAACAAGCATAATTTTTCTACAAACTCTCCCGGATAACCTTAATGAGTATCTACGACACGTTGATGATACTTACAAGGAAAAAGCGAGTACTACGTTGTTAAGTAGTTGTTCACACAGAAATCGAAGACAATTAATCTGGATATCATCTTTCAGAAACTGGTCTAGTCATACAATTTTGTAAGTTATTTGTTGAAATATGTTGGTACGCCATTTAGGGTTGTCAAATAACCGAATACCTATTAAATCAATAATGATACAACAATTTCAGTAACCTTCAGATAGAATAAATGACATGTAAACGTTGTTTTGAATTGACATCTCAAACCCTAGTTGGATCTCCGGTATTTTTTTCCACAGAGAACGTTATTTTTCGCGAATATTTCACTTAGGCATATAGACGTACTGTCTCTATCACTGGTCACTTAAAACAGCACTTACTATATTATTGAATCAGAAATTGTTTTAATAGATTTTAAATGGATTTGTGAAAGTATATGATTATGAGACCTCTAAATATATGATTTGGTTTCTAACCCCTTTCCTGTCATTATTTCTATATATAATATCTACCCTCTAACTTTTTAAAATATGTAGAATTTATTTAAATTTATCGGTGTATTTTCAAGTCGCTTATTCTTCCTTTGGTGTTGACTTTATTTAATTCTTTTTTCACTGACTTTTTCTGAATTGTTTCATCCTGTTGTGTTATCCTTGTTCACAGTCCTGTTATGTGTAGCGTGTTTATTGTTATTGCCGCTTAAATGTTGCGCTTTCTGCGAGCCCACAGAAGCGCCCTTTAAAACAATTTAACTTGAAGGAGGCATGCGTCTTTTTGCCATAATACATAAATTCCATTTGTGACTCGTTAAAGGATTAAGCATTTTAATGGATTTTAAGCATCAAAATTTCAAGCTGTTGTAGCAATCCAATTGTCAACTGCTATGTTCTTTGTTGCTGCCATCACTGTTGCTGCTGCTGTTGTAATTGTTGCCGTGCTCATTTTACTTATTGGTGCTGTAACTGCTACAATTGCTGTTGTTGTTGTTTTGTTATTATTTTAAGTGATTTCATATCATTGTTGCGTTGTTGTTGTTGTTGTTACACTTTTGTTATTGTTTTTGTTAAGTATATATATTGTTGTCGACATTATCCTGATGCTGCCAACTGATGATTATGCTGATGAGTCTGTTGTATGCGTTGACATCATTTTGATTATTTCGATTTAAATTGTTATGACAAATGATAAATAAATGCATTTGGGGTTGATCTTTGATAATTACTGGAATAAACCTTAAAGGCTTTAAGTTTTAAACTTCATAAAATTCTTGTTTATATTTAATATGTTGGCTATGGCTCTACTTTTTAGGACTTGGTCATTACAGAACATTAAGATGAACTCTCGAGAAGTCATTAAATGACAATGATGTTTGCATAAAAGGATTTTATATTAAAATCAGAAAAGTTCTAGTTCTCTTTTTTGTGATATATAGTAATTCGAAGAATGACAAACAAATCGTCGAACATTTCCAAGCAGATTACATATATCTTATATTATATTTCAATTAAGGTTGAAAAAAAGACCGCGCCTATGAAAATAATTTATTTAAATCATCGAAACATGTCACATATTTTTAAATTCTATACAAGAATAGACTGTGGACTTATAAAATATGATATAAGAAACTGTAAGAACACATTTATCTTGAAAGAATTTATACTTTATATATTTATTCATACTTTTATATTTATCTATACATAAAACTTTTTGTGTTTTATATATTATGTCAGTTCTTTTGATTTCCCAGACAGCGATGTACTGTGTTTTTATATTAACTGCTGAATCTAACTGAACACTAGACATTCCACCTATTTGATTACATTTATAAAGTGCAGAAGGTTGAGAATATCCTTACCATCTCACATATATCAAAGTTGGGTAGTCAGGACGTTCTCGTTGAGGATATCTCAAAGTTATCCTTCGCAAAGTTGGATAGAATGTGATTGGAAGTCTCGACATTTTCCGAACTAAGTTGCATTTCTGTAACATCAAAATTCTGTAATTGGTTGAAATGTTATTGAATTCATTCAGTTAGTAAAGTAAGAAAAGTTTGCATAACTTATTTCTGGGTAGATATTTTATATCTATTGAAGAATACGTTTATATTACTATAACTTAATTTACTCTAAGCTTGTATTATGTTGAACTCGAAAGCCGTCAACTTATAAGTGGCTTATTTTAGGTGAGCCTGGAAAAGAATGTTGAGACGAAAGATCACACCCCAAAGGAACTCAATGGTTATCATTCTATCAGCCGTTCCAAGAGTTGAATTATTTTTCTTGCAAAAAATTATTTTCTTTTTTTAGCATATTCTTCGCAGTTATTTTTTCGGAAATGTAATTAAAATTTAGAAAATATTTCTGGATGGATTTTTATTCCGTTGGAGAATACATTTACGTCACGATAACTTAATTTAATATTAACTTCAATCAAATTCAACTTGAAGCTTGTCTTTTTATTATTGACTTCAATAAAATATTTTCATTCATGAGTTAAAAACCTATAAGATTCCACCGAAAGATTTGCAACTATAAGGACTTTTATATAAAGTTCTATTTTAACTTATCATTAGTTAACTGAAAAAAGTCCAAATAGAAATATGGTTAAAAGATATATTATTTTTTCTTTATTATTGTACTACTCTCACATTGCTTCCTTACATTAACATAATCAATCATATTGAAATCTTGTAATTACACTGAAAGGATTCATGTTTGAATGAGGTTTTTCCAGTAAATAAATTTTTTAATTATAAATTATTAAAAAAAAATATACTCACTGTATTTTAATTTTCAAAATGGGTTTTAATCTATAGAGTTTTATCCTTCATTTTTAATAAGGAACATCTTTATCCTGGTACGCACTGGTTACATTAGTGACACCGCATCGAACCCAAAAGTAAAGACAAGGCAACTCTAAGCATTGCGGCTGTCTTTGGTAGCATCCGTCGTAGCTGTCATGGCGGATATGTGCTTTCCTTTTTGCATATTAAATTTAATTTATTAAATATTTTATTAAAAAGGAAGACAACAAAACAAACAAAAATAAAAAATAATAAATAAATTAAGAATAAAAAGGAAAAGACGGAAATTCAACGCGGCGTAATAATTATAATCACGTATGCTGCTCTACGCGTACTGGCAGTGGCGGGAGTACATCAAAAAGGCACCGGGGTTAAGTAATGATGATGATACGAATAATGAACAGGAGTGTGGGTTGGTGGATAGGTTGGTAGCAGTGTTGTTCGGTGTGGGTGTGGCAAAAGGCAAAAGTGTGTGTTACATAATAATCCTTTTTCTTATTTTTTTACCAGCGTATGTATTCAGGTCACAGGCGATACACAATATAACACACAAGCGCATTCATTTACACTTTTTCTGCTCGATTTTTGTTGTTTTAAGTTCTATGTGTAATTTAAGCGCCTTGACATGCTCCGAAAATGCTCTAAGTATGCCAAGCATTGGAGAGGGTATGTGGAGGTCTGCTGTGAGTGCAAAGAATTATTTGACTTCTTGTTGTTACTCGTATATCTGATATAAACACTAAGTTGTGTAATATTAGTGAAGGAGGGGGAAGAGCAGTCCCGGAGAGGGAAGGGGGGAAGGAGAAAAAGTAAAGGGTTGGTAATTTCAAGAAAACTTTTATGTTTTTAGCAAAAATTAATTCAAGTTGAAAATTCATTTAAAATATTAACACGCTTATGCCTTGTGCAAAGTGTACGGGGGAAAGTTGGTAGTTGTGTTTACACATATGTATGTGCCCCGCTCTCTGTAGGAATTAATATTTTCATGACAAAAATTATATCAAGTGGAAAATTTTAATGTAATTTTCACTAAAAATCAGTAAAACTTTTCTTTTAGTTACGTGAAAGCATTTTATTTCAAACAAAAGTTTTTCCTTCTCGTATCGACATGTGTGAACTTATGTTTGCACGTGTATTCATGTCTGGTAACAAATGGAAATTTTTCCCAGTGTATACTGTTACACTTATAATAATATCTATTGCATTTCACATACGTATTCCGTATTTAGTCATTAGTTATTGCAAAGAAGGATTTCCGTAGCGGAAGTGTACAATTTTCCACAGTTGTGGCTAATGGTATTAGTATTCTTCTAAAAATCAGCACTTTTTTCTACAAAAAAGTTTCTAATATCAGTATCAAAACGAACAAACTTTTCAAGAATCCTTTAATGTTTAATAAAGTACATTCATTATATATTATATAATTAATATAAAATAGCACTTGTGCTGGTTTTTGGCGGTAGTCAGTATAATCTACAGCAGTGGTGCTATACCAGTAAAAATCTGCAATGCTTTTCAACATTTTTTGTATTATTATCAGACTCTTTGACTTCTGTTTAATAAATAAATATATGAGCTTACTGGAATGCAAGAGATGAGTGAAGACCAATCTGATCAATTAAGCCAAATAGGAAGAAGGATATTTGAAAGAAGAAATA